TCGGGCTCCCTGCTCAGTGGGGAGTCTGCTTCTCCCTCTCCTGGTCCCCCTGCTTGTGTTCCCTCTCTCGCTGTGTCTCTGTCAAATAAATAAATAAAATCTTAAAAAAAAAAAAAAAAAGAAAAAAGAAATACCAAGTGATAGATAAAAGGCTTTCTAGCATAAATTTATGATGATCAAATTAGGTGGGGAAAATAAAATCGAACTTTTAAAACTAGTTTTTTTATATATTAAGTGAATAATGTCTCATATCTACCTGCTGTATTTTTTATTTCATCAGATCCATTTAAGAGTGATATAAAAGTGATTTAGAAGGTCAATATTCAATGTTAAAAGAGGATTTAAAAAGTGAGGAACTGAGCTATATTTAAAAAGACTGAAGAATGAACAGGTGGTCCCAGCTGGGAACAAGCAAATGGAAAAGTTATTTTGGAACAATGGGAAAATTTAAATATGGACAGGTACTATGAAATTTTAGGTAGAAAGAGTAGAGTTATGGAACTGAATGAAACAACTTACAGTATGTTCTCATTTAGGTTTAAAAATACTTCACTATAATTATACACAACAAATATCTGGAGGGATATAAACACACACACTACATACACACACTACATACACGGCAATACCAGCAGTAATCTCTGAGAGGCTAGAACATGGCACTGTTATTTCATTTTTGTTTACCTTCTAAATTTTTATAATGCATATGTACTATGTTGTAAAAATATAAAAATTTTAAAATATCAATATTTTTATTAAGCCAGAAATAAAAACCTGTCTTCTGTGTCTTCATTTGTGAAATAAGCACATGTGAAATAATGATTCTGAAGATGGTTTGACTCTTCACTTTTATTTTAGCTCTCAGGTGTTTATAATAAATCAACTTTACTTTCAAATATATGGAGTTCTGAATATAAGCTTCATGCTAAAAAAATGAAATGATCACAGACACTGAAGAACACAAAAAAGTCCCTATTTATATTTTGAAAAGTCACCTATATTTAGAGTTTAAAATAGCAATTGTATGCCCATACCAGTTAAATATTGTTCATCATGAATTAAAACAAAAATCTTTAGGTAAGAAGTTAAGAAGGAAATGAGAAAAATTCTTGCTATTTATCAGTGTTAAAATGCTAGTCTTAAATCTTCCCAACAACTGTCCTTAGAAACTCTCATTCTCTGTATATCACTGATGAGAAAAATCTTAAGGACTGAATCCAGAATAAAGAAACTCCTGCTTGGCAATCATTTTCCAATACTATACACATATCAAATCATTAAGCTGTACATCTGAAACTAATACAATGTTACGTCAATTATACCTCAATTTATAGAAAACAAACTACAAATTGATTTTTTTAAAGATTTTATTTTTCAAGTAATTTCTACATCCAATGTGGGGTTTGAACCCACAACCCGGAGATCAAGGGTCACATGCTCCATCAGCCAGGCACCCCTACAAATTTATTTGTAAAAAAGTAAAGATGGAGCACCTGGCTGGCTCAGTCAATAGAGCACCAACTCTCAGGGTCGTGAGTTCAAGCCCCATGTTAGGTGTGGAGATAACTTAAAAATAAATAAAAGGAAAGACCTCCCCTCCCCCAATAGCAAAATGGCAAAGAGTCATAAATGTTTCACAAAAGATCTGCAAAAGGCCAATAAACACTCAAAAGATAAGCATTCTGCCATAAAGGAAATGTAAATTAAAATCACAGAGATGCCTCTAGATATCCACCAAATGGCTAAAATTTAAAACTAATTCTAAGGATTAGAAAAGAACATTCTAGGGGATAAATTTAGCATGAGATAAGGCATGAGTATTAAAGCTGGAACAAATGTTCACATAAGTAAACACGTGTTCATGTGGCTTGGGCAGACAGGGAAAGATAAAATGTGTTCTGGAAAAGTAGTTAGGAATCAGAACTCAGAGCATCTTCAAGTCCAGGAGAAGGACTTTAACCCATATATGATTAGCAAACCCATGACATGGATGACAGCTTTGTGTAGAATGTTCCAAGGGGGGAGAAGATACAGAAGATTTCAGAAGCATTTCTTATCTCCTACCCTGCATTAAATTTCTCTATCCTCCACAATCTGATGTTACCCTCACTCCTCAACCAAAATCCCCACCTGCACTCTCCAACCTACTCAGAGTTTCATTCTCTTTACTCACCACCAGGTGAGCTCACACCTGGTCAGAGGGAGCACAGAGCTTTCACTCAGGGCACATCACCCGCATTACTCTTCTGCTCCCCCTGGGCTGCTCTCAATTTAAGTCCAGTGCTTTTGCAGAGGCACAGCTGAGGTCTACCCATTCCGTGATTTCCTGCCTACTCCAAACTGCCCTCATCTCCTTCCCGAGTCCCTCCCTTCCTTATGTGGGTTCCTGTAATACACAATTCAACATCTAACTAGAATCCGTATATTGTTCTCAACTCTCCAACCAGACTATAAACTCCTGGATAGAAGGGATCATACCTTCCACTTTTGTACCTCTGCTGCACCTACTACCAAAGAATATACACTAGCTAGTTGTCAGTTCCTCTTGATAACAGAAATGCAAACATACCCTTTCATCCAACAATTCTATTTCTAGTTTATCCTACTGATATATACATATACACACAATAACCTAGGATCAAAAATAGCATTATAGATAGTAACAATAAAAACTGGAAATAACCTAAATGTCTTTTAAGAAAGACTAGTTCATTTGAGTCTATACTGCCTATTAAAAAACAGAACTTGGGGTATTGTATGAAAGCAGAGAAGGTGAGCACTCCCCTTGACAAGGATGGATGAGGCCTGACAACAAGCACACATACAGTTAAGTCACTGCCACCTACTTTGTGGCATCTAGCCATCGTTTTTTTTGTTTGTTGAATCACTATATTGTACACCAGAAACTATGTTAGCTACACTGCAATTAAAGTTAAAAAAAAAAAAATCAAAAAGACAACTTGGGATACCTATACATATGGACCTTAACATAGTAAGTGAAAAAAGTTGCAGGAAATGGGTAAATAGGTCCTATCTTATTTATATAAACATAATTTACAAAAACAATTTTAGAATGATCATCTCTGGTAAGTCGGATGGACTTTTTCACTTCAGAAACACTTCTATTTTGTTTGAAAAAATAGAACACATACAATGTAGTAAAAAAAAAAAAAAAATTTACTCACTATCCCAAAAAAGTAAATTACAAAACAATTTATAATAGGAATCCATTTTCTTTAAAATAAAGCTCATAATATGCTGAGGTATATGTAACAAAATGAATATTTAGAACATATGCCAACTGTTAATAATGGTTATTTCTAGAAGAGGGATTACAAAAAACAAAAACCACAAGAGTTTCTCTAAAAAAAAACACACACTAGAGATACCCCCCCACAAAAAAAAAAAAAAAAAAAAAGATTAAAAAATCTGAGCTAGGATCCCAGAGATGTAAGCATTTTGGTCCACCTGGCAATTAGTTAAAACCAGCTTAACTGGTGGACAGCCCACTGTATTAAATCTGAGTAAGCATTACAGGTAAATCACATTTACCAATCAGTCACAGAAGTTACTGATTGAAAAGCTACTTCTCTACTAGATAAGTATTAAATATCTGTTTGATGAAGGGAATACTGCTAAAGTTAAACTTAAATATTTGCTGAATCATGCAAAAGGCAGGCAATGCACTGGTCTCTCCTAATACACTGTTCTGTTTTTAAGTATCTCTCAGGTATCCGTAGTCAACTGCAAACTTGCCTCAGGCCTTTATTTCAAGGCCAGTGCCTGAGAGGAGGCAGAAATCCCTACATACTTTCACCCTTAGTGGAGGAAGAAACTATGAGAACCACTAAATCACAGAGAATCCCAAGGGAGCACTGGATTCTGTCTTCATGGATCTGTGCTTCATAAAGGATATTATAGTTCTTACAGTTACTCTATATGCCCTGCTCCAGAGAGGGGCTTACACATGTCCAACTTAACGCGTCCGCGCCTTCTCCACTAAACCTTTGATAAAAACAGAGCAAGCAGAACTGCCTATTTTTCCTAAAGTCTACTGCTCCAAGTATTTTCCCATCTCAGCACTGACCCGGAAATCCAACTGCCATTTTGTTTTCCCCTTGGACTTACTGCTGAATAGCTTATCACTACTGATGCTAAGTGCTTTATTTGTATTACAACCAATTTATACTCAACAATCCTGTTAAGTGTTCATATTTTACCAGTGAAAAACCTGAAATACAAGGTCTGATAATTAGTGCTAAAAAGAAAACCACAGGCTCAAAAATGGAGTCACTTATGCTAGACCAATCTAACTGCAGTCTCAACCTCACCCAGAAATGTAGTCTTCAGTCAGAAATTGGTCGGCACCAATGAAGTCATCTGTTACTGGCCTTTCTCCATCTCCCAAAGGAAGGTGACCTCATCCCAAACAATCCTTTTTTCTCATTTCCTTGTCCCACCTTTTAAAAAAAAAAAAACAACAACAAACCTTTCCCTTTCTGTAGCCTTTAGGAGCTCCCCTCTACTTACTAGCTGGGATGCTGCCTGATTTCATGAATCAAATAAACCTAATTATATCTTTAAAACTCACTCAGCTTAATGTTTGTTAACACTAGTAAATAGTGGCAAAACTAGGGTTTAAACCCAGAGATTGATTCCTCAATCCAAGCTTTACTATACTGCACTATCTCTGGGATATATTCTTTTCAACCTAGAAAACACGAGAAATCTTCAGTCAGATGTTGCCACAAAATGAACAAATCTTTTAGAATTTCCAAAAAACAAAAGAGTTTTATTCAAGCCCAAGTCTTAGACAGCTGCCCTGGATACACAAAATTTGCAAAGAAGAGAGTGCTCCAGCAAAGTATGGTGTAGGATTATACACATTTTTAAGTAAAAAGTTACAAATAATTAGACAAAGAACATTTCGGAAAGTTGCAGACCTTATCTTAAATTTCTACAATATGCAGGGCTGTAGCACTTTCATTATGGGCAACAGGGAAGTTTCTTTTTCTTTTGTGTTCAGACTGCTCCTTTTTCCGTGTGTTTTGTTTTTTGTTTATTTAACAAAGCAGATGTACAATATGTGCTCAGAGCACAAAGAGAGCCCATGCTTTGAGGTTCTGCAGAGTCAGTCTGACCTTAGTAAATGTTAAAGTACAGCAGCTTCCCAGGGAGCCCAGGAGCAGGGCCCACAAATATCAAAAGCTGAAAATTTCCTTTATCACAGTAAAGCACTTAGGTTTTCACAACAATACTGAACATCAACAGGCCACATGGATCAAACATTTACTCACGGAAATGCTGTTTGGCTACCATTAGGTTACTACGAACTTTATTTCACAAAATCTTTGCCATTGCTTTTCTCAACTTTTGAAAAGCTATTTACAGTAATAATTAAACACTCAACCTCTTAACCAAGTCAAACAGATTTGGGTTCAGATTCTCGTTCTGTTACTGCTTTCCTTCACTTGCAAATAAGATATAAAAGGTATATGTGAAAAACTTAGCATAGTGAATGACTGGAGACTAAGAAGTCAAGGTCCCCTACTTCTATTCTTTGTTTTACCACCAATACTCCCAGGATGGGGAACAACTGGACAAGTCCAAATCAAATTCAATACTCTAACTAGACCCATTTATTCATGTGTCTATAGAAAACTTTAAACATTAAATTATGCATTCCATTTAAATTTATGAACTGATAAAACAAGTTCTACACAACCAAGAAAAACTGGTAAAGAAATATATTTGATATTAAGAAATTATCACGTAAGTCAATTACTGCACAGAATGCTAGCTTCACAATAACTCATACCTCTCATCTATAACCCTGTGAATTACGATAATTTGAAACTTTAAAATAATAAAAATCCTCAAGTCAGTGTTAGAGCTTTAAAACGTCTTGTATTGGATAAGCTCAGGGGGGCTTTCAATGGATTAAAAATGCAAGAGAGGCAATAATGACTGATCTTAACCCATTTGGCGGCTAAAGATCTGCGATGTTAGAGACTAGCTGAAGCTGCCCTCGAGGCCTAAGGGTTAACGTTGCACAGGGCGCTCACTCTTCTCCACGTGGAACGCGTCCGGTAATCAGTCCTCACAACTCTGTGCCAAGGACTGAGATCTATCCGCTTTTTCAGGGGAGGAAACGGAGGCAGAAGGGAGGTTGGGTAGTATGCCTAAGCGCTCAGAACTCGGGAACCAGAGGCCGACTGGAAACCTTTCTGGGTCTAGAGTTAGGCCCTTTTAACCCTTCAGGGCTCCGAGGAGGGGGCAGGTCAGTGACACTGCAACAGGGAAAAAAGTACAGTACCGGTGGGAAGCAGGGGTTCCAACGGGGTAAAGGCATGCTCCATATCGGACTACAGGCCTCTGCATTAAAGAAACAGAAACCCCACGTTAGAATGCCTCCTATCTAATCAAACAGTGCGCAAACTCTGCAGAACGCCGGCCGCTTCCATCCCGCGCTCCCGCGGCGGCTTCCAGGCGGAGCTCCAGGGAGCCGCGGCGCTGGGGGCCCTGCCGCCTGGCTCCGCGGGGAGGAGCCAAGAGGGAGGCCGGCCTGCGGGGCGGGCAGGCGCCTCGCGTGCCTCCGGGAGCCGTTCCCTCCTCCCTCTCCCCGCGCACCGCCACCATCCGGGGACTGGAGAGCCGGAGGCGGCCGCCCCCCTCGTCGCGCTGCCCGCCCCATCCCGCGGCCCGCGCGCACACACCGCGGGCGGCGCGCTGAGCCGCGGCCGCACTTACACAATGGCGGGTGGAGCCAGCGGCAAGCGGAGCGCGGACTGCGGGAGTGAAGGCGATCGACCGCTCGGAGCTCAGCTGAGGAGCCTCGGCAGCGCGCGGCAGGCGCTCGCAGGCTTAAGTAACGGGCGCGCGAGGCGGCCCCGCCCCCTTCCGGAGCCGAGGGCCCGTGCGGGCCGCGCGTCCCCGAGCCGCGCGCCCCCGGCGTCGTTCACGCCTGGACGTCCGCCCTCCTTCTTCCTGCAGCCTTCTTCGAGGCTAGTTCGGCCTTTCAGCTGGCTGTGGTGATTCTGCCCAGCGCTCTTCGCTGCAGTTAGTGAGGAGGCCGCTCTTTGCTCAAAATCAAGCAGCAGTTGCTCCGTCACCGTTCCTCAGCCTGGCTGTAGAGCCAGGCGAACTTCCCAGTTTTCCAGAGCCCGTCCTCCCGGTCCTCGTTCTCCCTCGTTCTGCTTCCTGCCTGCATCCTGAGCACACACCTGCTTTTGTCGTTCCTCCCTTCCTGGTGAACGTAATCAGAGACAGTTGTCGAAATTAAGAGAAACCTCACTAAAGTGGAGCCCTCAGGCTGTACCATTGCCTGCCAATTAGAAGAATTGCCAATTACAGGAAGAATTGTCAATTATAGATCTCAACAGAAGACTCTTCAACAGGAAAGAAGTAACAATCACAGGCCCCAACCGGAAAAAGATGTTTGTCGCATCTCTTAGCAATCCCAGCAAACTCTGCCAATGAGAAACCCTCATCGCCCTGAACGTTTGTTTTTCTCCAGTGAACTTTCAGTTCCAAACAACCCTCCCAACTTCCTCCTTTTTCCTGAAATAACGGTCCTCTCCTTTGTTGGGCTTACCTATGGTTTTGCCATAGCTTGCAGGTCCTGAATTGCAATTCTTTGCTATTCCAGATTAAACGCATTTTGCTGACAAAATAACTTACTGTTTTATCTTTCAGGTCAATAAAGTTTTGTGTTTTTTTAAGATTTATTTATTTGAGAGAGAGAGCATGGCCTTTGAGCAGGGGGAGGGGCAGAGGGAGAGAGAGAACCCTCAAGCAGACTCCCCACTGAGCTTGAGCCGGACTGGGGCCTCACCCCAGGACCCTAAGATCATGATCTGAGCTGAAATAAAAAATTGGACCCTTAACCTGCTGAGCCACCCAGGTGCCGGAAGGTCAATAAATTTTTAGTTCGAAGAAATTTTAAGCCACCTACTTGCAGCTCCATTTGCTCCTTAACACTCCTAGGATGGAGAGCTCACTCTTTTGCCATCCAGCCTTTTCCAATCCTCATCACCAGAAAAATTCTTACTTTAGGCAAAAATCCTCTTCCTGTACCTGTCACTGTTCCTCCCCAGCTCCCAGGGCCACCACATATTAGAGGGATCCCTGGTCCTCACAATCATCTTAAATGTATTGAAGAGAGTAGAAAGCAAGATGGAGTCACTCATATCAAACAGTGACCTATGTTAAGCAGTGATTTATGCAGCCAAAGATGTTGTAGCTAAGACCAGATATCACTGAAAATAGAACAAGCTGAGGGTACCCAGAACTGATAATCCGCCAAACCAAAGGAGGTCTACAAAGGCCCAAGTCTGATTAAACTCCTTTAAAAAGCAAGGATCTTTGCAAGAAACTGTCAGACTTCCTAGATAATGATCCTTTCAGAGCTGACAACATCAAAAAGGCAATTGTCACCGAAGACTCTGCCCTATTGATCTCTGAACAGAGATTCTTCATGGCTTGAACATAATAAGCAGCACGTGCCAACAGCTCTCCCTGACTGGACCGAGTCCTTATCTCAACTGCACACTCCCAGACTGACTTTGACTTTGGTTTATTAACTTCCTACCCCCTGTTGTATCTTGTTTGTTGGGTGACTTTGTCTTATGCTTTGCTTTGTGTGATGTGTGAGAAGCCAAGTTAAACACGTAGCAGAATGTCATTGGTTTTGAAATCCTGAAACTGCTTTACAATGTTAATCTTGCTTTATGACTCAATAAAGCTGACACCGTGAGAAGACATAACTCATGTGTGCACTCATGTGCTCGTGACAACTACCTAGGCTTTACCTTTTCTAGGCTAAGCTCAATTCTCTCAAGGTTCTAATGTAATGTGATTTTTAGACTCTACCATCCTGGTTCCCATTCTCTGTATTTAATGTTGCTCATAAATTGTGGTTCCAAGAACTAGTGAGAACTGTGCATCTCTCAGCACGCAGCAACTCCTGCAGACCCCCACAAGACTAAAACACCTGACCAACTTCTAATATGACTTCTAGTTGCATACAGCCTGTCCCTAGATTGATCCCAGAACTGCTCCTCCCACCCACATAAAATGCCTGCCTGAGAATGCTTGTCAACAAAAAAACCTGAAATACAAGGATTTGGTCAGAGGCAAGGAAAAGTTGTATTATCATGCAGTTTGCAAATAGGGAAATGCAGTTTTCAACTACAAACTAAGAGTATGCCAAAGGGGAAGGATTAGGCTTAGATTAAATAGGCAAAACACACAAATTCTGTGCCTTTTATGGAACCTGGTTAGACTCAAGTCCCAAACAACTAGTTTCAGGAACAGGATACAGCTCAATATTTCTGGTGGTGGTTTCAAGATGTGGCACCCATTGGAGAGCATGACACAAAGGGTTACAGGAGTCTTTTTGCAAATTTTGCTGAATTTTGTGCAAGTTTGTCACCTTAGGCTGTGTGACTGGTTTTGTTCCTCATGGTCATTTGGCCTGTTTGAAATTTTAGTGTTTCCTCCCGTGGCATCAGGGACCCCATCCTGTCTGTCAGTTATTACCTTCTAATTTGGGGGGTCCTTTGTTCCCAACATTATGACTGCCAGAATTACTGTTTGTTCTAGCCAACACCTGATGATAGGCCCTGACCTCTCAAAGGGCTTACAACTGTGACATGTATCTCTAGCAACTCAGAAGTGCCTCTTTCCCTCTGTCATATCTCTCTCTGTCTCTCTCTCTATCTCTATCTCTATCTCTCCAGGACCTGAGAGCCATTTCTTTGGAATATAATAATCAGCCTCTGTTTCCCAGTCTCTGCTGGGGCATAGAATCCTCACTTCTAGCTAGCTAACAGAGCTGTCCTAATCACATTGACACTGACCAACCCTTTATAATTTTTCACTTCTCTGACTCTACTAGGTCCTCATCTTCTCCCTCCCTTATTCTCCCTTTAAAACATCCAAATCACTTCGGCACAAATCAGAACGGAGCTCAGCTGTTTCTCCTATTATCGGTAGTTACTAAATAAAATATGTTTTAACTGCTTTAACTAATATCTGACTGTTTATCTCACAATGTTCCAGGTATAATCCAGTCATAGAAGAGTACAACATGGTCTATGTTCCTTCACTTTTTTAGCTACCAGATCAAATAGAACTCCCAGGTGTTTTTCACATTTACCTCTCTTACGTCAAATGTGCACCTATCTAATACACAATTTTAAACCAAACTGCTAATTAAATATTATGAGTATGCAGTCATAGTTGGGGCCCACAGGCTGTGGGACATTGAAACTTCAGTTTCCTCAGGTATAAGACAGAAACAACGCTGCCTACTTTGGAAGGGTTCTGTAGGGATCAAATGATTTGGTATAGATAAGCACCTGGGCTGGTGCTGGCACATATAGATTTGCGGCAAATGTTTGTCCTGCTCCATCAACATGGTACTCCACATATGTCTGGATGACTTCAGTGTTTATAGCTGTAGCCTACATCTTTGCAAAGTTTTTATGGGTAATCTAGACCAAGTGTCTCCCAAAATTGTTTAAAAGAAAACTGAAATACTCAACTACAATTAATTTCAAAAGCCCACATGTTTAAAGATGCCACCAGTGAAACTAAGAAGACAACAAACTGAAGGTGGAGTGAGAATATTTGCACATATAATAGACAAGTGGTTGCTCTATCTAGATGATATGAAGAACTGCAAATCCATCAGTAAAAGGCAAGCAAAACAGTGAAATAATGACCAAGGATATATATACAGGCAAATTACAGAAAATGTTCACATGGCAAATAAACATGTGAAAAACACAACCGTTGATGCAAAATGAACAAACCATTTAGAAATTCTAAAAGAAAGGAGTTTTATTTGAGCCCAAGTCAGGACAGCTGCCCATGATACACAATCTTCACAAGAGAGTGCTCTGGCAAAGGAACATTTGCTATAAGGTTATATACACTTTTTACCATAAAAAGTTACAAATTGTTAGACAAAGGACATTTCAGAAAGTTGTAGACCTTATCTTAAGTTTCTAGTATATGCAGGGCTATAGGACTTTAACCTTACGGGAACCAGGGAAGTTTCTTCCTTTTTCTTAACTTTTGTGTTCAGAATGCTCCTTTCAGGCTTTAAGAAAGCAGATGTAAATGTATGCCTGGGGCGCAAATAGAGCCCATACTTTGGGGTTCTGCAGAGTCATTTTGACCTTAGTAAATGTTAAAATATAGCTTCCCTGGGAGCCCACGAGCAAGGCCCACAAACATTAAAAGTTGAAAATTTCCTTTAACAACATTGGTAACGTTTGGAAAAGCAAATTTGAACAGTGAAATAAATTTACTTGTCAGATTGCAAACTTTTAAGTAATAAAGCAAATTTACATTTATTGAGCAATTATTTTGTTGCAGTCACTGTGTTAAGGTCTTTTATATTTTATTTCATTACCTTAAAATGTAGGCCCCACAACAACAATGACCAAATTTGAATAGTTCACCCTTGAATCCTCATACTGTAGCTCAGTTGCTGGCAAAGAGCAAGTGACCGACAAGTACTTATTGAATGTTCATAATGAAATTGTTTGCAAAAGCCTGAGATGCTCCTTCTCCAGTTCTTCTCACAGCTGGCTCATTCATCAAGACTTGGTATGAGTCTTTCTTCCCCCAGTTACTCCTTCTCTCATCTAGGATTGTCTGTTTTCCTGCATAGCTATACTTACCATCTGTAGTTAACGTACCCATTTACTTATTTATCATTTGTCTTCTCCTACTAGCTCCCTAAGAGTTGGAACCATATCTGTTTTGTCCATTGCTATTCTCCAGCCAACAGGATACCTCCACCCATAACAGAGACTCCATAAATATTACTTAAATGTATTAACAAAGAGTGGTGACAAGAGAATAGAAAATTATAG